ACTACTACTACTACTACTACTACTACTACTACTACTACTACTACTACTACTACTACTACTACTACTACTACCACTACGCGCCAGCACCCGGTTGCACCAGCATTCTTTCTTATGTTGTGGGAGGGCGGAACGTGTCCGTTCTTCCTTTCAACATGGCCAGTCTTGTCGTCGACGATGCGAAATGCGTGGCGGGAATGGGACGCGGCGCACATCCCGCGCGGACGTCAATGCGGTGTCCTGGGGTATCCCCCACTCGCACTGAAATGCCCGCGCAGCCCCCAGTTGTGTCACCACCACTGTTTCTTATGTTGTGGGAGGGCGGGTGGGAATGGGCATGCCATGCTTGACTCGCTCGAGCTGGCTAGCTTGACCCCCCCCCCCCCCCCCCCCCCCCCCCCCCCCCCCCCCCCCCCCCCCCCCCCCCCCCCCCCCCCCCCCCCCCCCCCCCCCCCCCCCCCCCCCCCCCCCCCCCCCCCCCCCCCCCCCCCCCCCACCCCCCCCCCCCCCCCCCCCCCCCCCCCCCCCCCCCCCCCCCCCCCCCCCCCCCCCCCCCCCCCCCCCCCCCCCCCCCCCACCCCCCCCCCCCCCCCCCCCCCCCCCCCCCCCCCCCCCCCCCCCCCCCCCCCCCCCCCCCCCCCCCCCCCCCCCCCCCCCCCCCCCCCCTCCCCCCCCCCCCCCCCCCCCCCCCCCCCCCCCCCCCCCCCCCCCCCCCCCCCCCCCCCCCCCCCCCCCCCCCCCCCCCCCCCCCCCCCCCCCCCCCCCCCCCCCCCCCCCCCCCCCCCCCACCCAAACCCACACACACCCACACACACCCACACACACACACCCACACACACCCACACAGACATCCACACACACCCACACACACCCACACACACCCACACACACACACACACCCACACACACACACACAAACACATAAACACACAAACACAGAAACACAGAAACACAGAAACACAGAAACACACAAGCACACAGACACACAAACCCACAAACACACAACACACACAACCACACAAACACACAACCACACAAACCCAGAAACCCAGAAACCCACAAACCATCAACCCACAAACACACAAACACACAACCACACACACACACCATCAACACACAAACACACAAACACACAAACATACACACACAAGTACACAAACACACACACACACAAGCAAACACACACACAACACACACAAACACACACCAACACACCAACACACCAACACACATACAAACACACAAACACACACACACACGCATACACACACACACGCACGTCGAGCAGTCCTCGGCCCGGGACAGCAGCAGCCTTGGTAGAGCTACTGAGGGCGCTTCGAACTCTCAACACGATTGTGGCCCAAAGGGGCTGAAGATTTATGTGGCCATGACTCCAATGACCCCGAAGGTTCCGTGTCCACAAGCCGCCTCTGGCTTGGGCTGCTGTGGCGAGCCCCTGGGAACCACAAGATCAGGCGCTCGCAAGAGCACGAGGAAACATTGCTAGTGATACATTCTTGGCCGCGGCGGTTATATATGAACTCGGAGTCGCCAAGCACAAGTAGCACCGCCAACAAGGTGACAAAGAGGGTGGGGTGAACTTCATCCGTTTCCGATGTAGATGTTGCATGTCAAGGCACGTGATAGATCGATGTAGCCAGACTTGAAATCCGCCGACCCCCGCTCGCCGGGGGTGCAAAGGCGTGCAAGATGCTTGGCTGTCCCCCGCACTCTTTCCCCCTCCCCTGGTGTCTGAAATCCAATTAGAAGGGGGGGGGGCGGGGGGGGGTTCTCTGAACGCTCCCCCGGGGTCTCAGGAGTCTTGATTTCTACTCTCCGTGGCCTCCAAGATGCCCAATATTCGATCTAAGCTTGCTCCAGCTGGGCTCCAGCACGCCAAGGATGCCTCCAAAACAATCCAGATAGCCTCAAGACGGCCCACGAAGCCTCCAAGACGTCCCCAGAGAGCTCCTAGACGACCCCCAAGAGGGCCCCAAATCGCCCCAATTCCGGAGGATACCGTATAATTTTAGCATACCCACCCTTCCAGCGTCCAAAGCGGCTCAAGAGGCCCCCAAGATCGCTCCAGGACGGCCTAAGGTCCCTAAGAGGGCCCCAAGACGGCCCAGGAGAACCCCAGAACGGCCCAAGAGGCGCCCAAGACAGCCCAAGAGGCGCCCAAAAGAGCCTCAAAGGGGGCTCAAGATGGGGAACTCGAACTTCCACTTCGAGCCCTCCGCCTCAAGAGGACCCCCGAGACCGCCAGCAGGCGCCCAGCAGACCCCGAAAAGGCTCCAAGAGGCCCAGAAGATGCCCCAATAGGACCCTCAAACGGTTCCCAAGAGGCAAAAGGCCTCACACGTGGACCTCGTTTCTCCTCTGGGGGCTAGCGGAATAGCGCAAGCCACTTGAGTAAATCTCGCCCTCCCTCGCGTTCCATCACATCGTGAACACTGTTCCAGTGAGGAAGCTGTGCTGAGGTGGAAACTGACGAAAGCTGTTGGGAACCGCTGGAGGCTGCAGCGCCGACCAACCGTGACCAACACAACGCTCCCTCTCGACGCAATGTCAATGGAGCGTTCCGATATGAACCACCACCTGCCGACGTTACGCCCACGGTGACTGCGGTCAGCCAGCACATGCCGATGGCCCGCAACCCGAGCGGTGCACCGCCAACTTCGTGTAGTCAACACCTGCGCATGCGAAACCCACGGCGACAAGGAAGCTCGACCGCCCGGAGAGGAGCGGACAACGCATACGTTCAGCATACACTGGAAAGGGCGGGGGGGGGAGCTGGTGATGACGACCCTGTCAGAGGGGAGTGGCAGGAGAAGGGCAAGGGAGGCAGGGGAGGGAGAAGGGGAGGAGAAGCGGGGAGGATGGCCCCTCGAAGAGTGGCCTCGAAAGGAGTCTCCCTGGGGTGTGGGGCCCGAAACGGACAACCTCGAAAGAGGACCTCCTCCGGTGGCCTCCGCGCCGCTGCCCCGCGTCGCTGGAGACGGGTGGGGGCGGGCGCGCCTTGCCCTTCTCCTTTTTCTCCTCCTTCTTCTCTGCCTTGACCGCCTCCTGCTTGGCGTCCCGGTAGTAGCCCAGGCCGCGAGAGCCCATCTGGAGACGTCAGCGCTTGGGGCAGGAGGTGGCTGGGCACGTCGGCACGGCAAAAGCAGTCATGATCGATGCTGCTTCCCTATGCTGCAGTCGCACAACAGTTACATCCTCTTCGCCTCCGTTGCAACCGTAAGTAAGTCCTCCGTCGAGGCAGCTCGGACCTCCCCGGCACTGTAACCAAATCGCCCCTCCCTACGTCCACCTTGCGAACACAACAACTAAAGCAGGTGGACAGCTGAAAGCTGAAACGGAAGTGCGTGTATGCGGGGGGGGGGCGAAGCACATTCTCATGCTAGGCCCACAATTCCACTATCTTCCATGGCATTCTGCGAAGCTAAAGCTCTCGAGCGCAAGAACGTGTCCTTGAAGGCCCAACCTGGCCGTGCACCTTGGAACTCTTTAGCTGGCTCGAAGGCTTCGCGCTTCATGACGCCAGCCTCGTCCTTGACCTCCACGCCTTCCTGAGCATCGAGAAAGGCCCATTCTCGAGATCAGAACGTGCTTCACATGTTTCATATTTGGCGAAACCTCGAAGGAAGACGGCACAACAGGATCAGTCATGGACAAAAACAACTCGCGGCTGTTGAGGTGATGCGTGCGCTGTTGACGCGCAGAGATGCTGGCTGTGAGTCCCAACTCTAGGAAGCCCCAAACTCACGAGGGCAACGCACGCGCACGCGCACACGCACACGCACACGCACACGGACGCGCACACGCGCACGCGCACGCGCACGCGCACGCGCACGCGCATCCACACCAACACACACCATACACCACATACCGCACACCACACACCACACACCACATACAACACACACAACACAAAACACAGAACACACAACACACACCACAAACCACACACCACACAACACACGCCACACACCATACACACGCGCCACACACACGCACACACGCATGCACGCACGCACACACAGACACACAAACACAAACACAAACACACACACAAACACAACCACAAACACAAACACAGACACAACCACAACCGCAACCACAAACACAGACACACACACACACACACGCGCGCGCACGCACACACGCACGCACGCACACACACACACACACACGCACGCACGCACGCACACACACACACACACGCACGCACGCACGCACGCACGCACACACAGACAGACACAGGCAGACACAGACACAGACAGACAAAGACACACAGACACACAGACACACAGACACACAACAGACACACAGACAAACACACAGACAAACACAGACACATACACAGACACACACACACAGACACGCACAGACACACACAGAGACACGCACACAGACACACACACAGACACACACACAGACACACACACACACACCTCATTCTGCAGGGCGACCAAACCCTCAGCTGCGAGTGCGGCTGGCAACTTTGCTCCACGTGCCAAGTCAAGCGGCGCATCTCGAGCGCCGTACTCGACGCCTTGCACGGCGCCACCTGACACGGCCATTCGCGATCTGTCACAGGTGGTGAGCCGCCACTTATGTAAACAACAGCCAGAGGCTTGGGATCATGAGTGCCACAGGTGGTGAGCCGCCACTTTATAAACAACGGCCGGATGCTTGGGTCAGTGAGAGACATATTTTGAACCAACCACCCAGCCACGCGGGGGGGCCCTCTCCGGACCGTCTTATTTGTCCGCCTCATCTGCCTCACATTATGTCCTACCTCCTCTGCCTCATCTCTGCCTCCAACCGCCAGGCCACCTTGCCGACAGGGCGAGTGCCCGACGCCCCAGGCCCGCTCTCACCCAAACCAGGGGCGCGAAGTCAACCCTCTTTGCCCTGGGGCCCGCCGCGTCCGCGCGCGAATGTGAAGACATCCGCGTGTCGCCACCTTGCACTAGAGTCTGGAGCTGCGTCTCACCGGGAACGGCTGTCTCGAGACGCAACACCGGCGACGCCAGCCGATACCTCGTGCAGCGCACCCTGGAGTGCCAGGCTGCCGCGTCCCCGGGGCCCCGCCGCGCGCCGCCACAGAGCGGGGCGGCGGTGCGGTCCAGTACTGCGCTGCACTCGATGATAGGGGCGGGGGGGGGCGCCAGAAGTGGAGGTCGGGGGGGGAGACGTAAGCCACCAGCTGCCCACGACCCCCGTGATGGCGGGAACCTCCCCTCCGCCGGTGGGCATTCCCTGAAACGGCTTCCCGCCCCGCTCTTGGGCACCCCAATCTGTGTTGGCGGACTGCGGGCTCCCTGGGTGAGAGGGGTAGGGGGCTGTTTCGCGGGGAGCTGTATGGACTGGAGGGGAGAGGCCTTCACGCCATCCAACTTCGGCCAGGGCGGTCGTGACACAACAACCTATCTTGCGAGGTTTAGCACAGCCTCGACCACCAAGGTCGCGAGGCACACCAGTTTGATCACCCGCCCCCCAAGGTCGACCGGCCCTGGGGGCGGGCGGGGGCATGGCAACGTCGGATGACATTTCTGCCGTCAGGGCCTCTCAGGGTATCAGAAGGAGAAGGATCCCTGATCTACTGCTATCTACCTCCCTGCTACCTGCACCATAACTGGCGACTCCAGGGGCGACCACCCCTGGAGTCGCCCGGCTCTCCAGTTTGATCAACCCTCCTCGGGGGCAGACGCCCCTGAAGAGGGGGGGGGATGGCCGCGTTCGACGAATCCTCTGGCCGGGATAGAGAGGGAGAGAGAGGGAGAGAGAAAGAGAAGGACGAGGAAAGAGGATGAGGAGAGGATGGAGGACCCCGTCGCGGTCTTCGGGGGCCGGGGTGGCGACGAGACTGGGCAGAGCGGGCTGTGGGCGCGGGACTCGGGCCGGTCCTCCTTCTCCGCGGCCTCCGCCTCCGCCGCGGCGGCCATGGCGGCGTAGGGGTCCTGCGGACGGTGGAGGCTGCGGTCGCGTGTTCAGCTCCTGCCATCGCCGCCTGCGCTGCCCCTGACTCCCGTCCCTCCCTTTCTCCCCCGTTCCCTCCCTGCTGCTCCTACTCGTCCACCTCCATCTCTCACCTCTCACCTCTTGCCTCTTACCTCATTCTTCTCCTCCTCCTCCTCCTCCTTGTCCTCCTCCTCCTCCTCCTCCTCCTCCTCCTCCACCTCCACCTCCACCCCCACCTCCCACTCCCCCTCCTCCTCCGCCCTCCCTTTAGACTCCAGCGGCAAGGAAGCGAGAAGGGGAAACGCAAGGATGCAGTCGACACGATGTAAGGCGCGCGGCGACTGCGCGAGCGGAGGAGTAGCAGGAGCGCCTGCAAGAGTGGAATAGCAACATCACCAGCTCAATAGCAAACTAAGGCAAAGGGCAAAACAAGAGGAACGAACGACGTACGTAAGCAAATCCGTGGGAGGTTTCTGGTAAGCCGGACGGCTTGCACCCAGCGACGTATTTTTGCGAAGGCGGGGGCCCCGCACGGGTAAGCGAGCAGCCTGCTCCGAACTCGCCTTGAACTGGCGGACGAGCGATGGCGCCTCTTCCTTTGCGTGGATGCATTGCGCTCGGGCGTGCATGTCCGAGTGTGTTCAGTGAGGTCGTGCCGTCGGCGCGTAACTCTTGCAAGAGGGCTGCCTGGGGCGATTGTCGCGCCTCCGGGACACTCTCGACGGGGTAGTTACGCCTTCTGGGACAAGTCATGTTGGAGCCTTGCCTCAAAGAGATCGGGATCATGCTGGTAGAATGTACGAGCGATGCGTGCGCACTGATTCGAACGACGTCGAACGAGCGTCGCCGTGGAGGGGGGCACGAGGAGAACGCTCGAGGAAGGCAGTGGACGAGGGCTTTCGTGGGGGGAGAGGAATCCTCGAGTGGGGGAGGGCCCCTCCTCGAGGGGCCCATTGGGAGGTGGGCTGGTTTTTCTGGCCTCCATTCCAAAGGGGATGATGATGATGATGATGATGATGATGATGATGATGATGAGAGGAGGAGGAGGAGGAGGAGGAGGAGGAGGAGGAGGAGGAGGAGGAGGAGGAGCGGCATGCCGAGGGCGCGAGGGATGCCGCCGTCTCTCTCCTCGCCCTGCAGGAGCAGCTCCACCTCGCGGTTGAGCTCCTCGGGGGTTCGGGCGCCACCCCAGGCCTCGACAGCCCGCTCCGCCCCGCCCTTCCCGTAGGCTGAATGCTCCCCGAGATGTCCAATGGCTCTGGAGCCTGCTCTGCCGGCCACACCTGCCGCGTTGTCCGCCCGCCCCCCACGTGCGCCCGCTCAAGGAAATCTGCTAACCGGAGGCGTGGTAGCACCCGCTGGGTGGGGTGGGGGAGGAGCGGATTCTGGGTGTGCGGAAGAGCAGGGGGGAGGGGGGACATCGGATCACAGTCCGAGCCCGCCGTCCAGCCCTCCCTCTCGAGGAGAAGCAACGTGGCAGGTCACAAAGAGTTGGTACTGGGATCGTGCTCCATCCATGCAGGGTCTGAGCTCCCAGAGAAACGTGCGCGGCGCCCGATCGCATGAAAAGGAGTCGCCATCCGTCCGTGTAGCAGTTTGAACTGCCTAGCTTCGAGAGCATTGCGTTCGAATGATTAACGAGCGAGAGCCAGATTTTGAAAAGGACTCCCCCTCCGTCAGTGTAGCAATTGGAAATTTCGAGGCTTTGCGTCACACAGTTTCAGGGCGTCTCAAGGGAGAACCCCATCGGTGCAAAGGAACCGTCTTCCGTCCAAGTAGCTGCTGGAACGCGAAAGCACAGCGTTGGAAATTCAGCATCATTCTGAAAACCATCCCTTCCTCCATCCTTGTAGCTGTTGGAAGGTTCATGCTTTAGGAAAATGAGACGCGAGGAAGCCTCACGGGGAACCACACATTGGAAAACCAGTGCCATACATTAGCGTAGTTGCTGGAATTCTGAAGCGTCAAGGTCACCAGTTGTGAGGCAGTCTCTTGCGACACGCCCGCCCTACAGATACGTCTGGTGGTGTGAAGCGGTGTTGTGCATAATGAAAAGGTATGAAAGACAGGGGATGGATTTGGGGTGCGAGTGGGATGGGGGCACCAGAGGGCACTGATAATCGGTCTTCTGATAACTGCTGAAGCTCCCTCGGAACCCCGCACGAAGCCAATGGGCTGCTTCGTCTCACAATGCTCGCTTCCAGTACCCCGCGAGGCCCGGCGTGAGGGGCAACCTGAGTAATGGACTATGGGCTATGGTATGCACCTGTCTGCGATGCGGGTACGTGCAAGCTGGTTCACGAATCGCACGACCGGAGACCAGAGCCCAAATTGCCGCTGGGAGCAACACAATGCCGGGCTCCTTGGCGGCGAGTTCGGCGGCGTACATCTCCTGGCGGCCGCCGCTGCAGCGCTCTCTCGCCTGTCTGCGTAATCAATGAGCTCCCTCGTCTGCGCGAGCTCTGATCGAACACCGCCTGGTCTGCTTGGACTCCTCCCGACGTGAAGGCCCATGCACGAAACGGCAGAACGGCGGAGCACCCCCGAGGCGGTCGCGCTCACGCCCGAGTCGGGCTCTACGTGGCCCGTCCGTGAGACAGTTCTGCTTGACACGGCTGGGCCCCTCTTCGTGTGCTCACCCTCAGGTTCAGGCCCCGGAGCTCGGGGGGGCCTCGCGCCCTCGAGCCGCCCACTGGAGAAGGGCGGCTGTCTGACCCAAGCTGCGATGCGCGAGGCGCGGTTATCTTCGCGCCCCCGCGGGTGGCCCAGCAAGCCTGCTGCTGCTGCTGCTGCTGCTGCTGATGACAAGAAACAAGCTCACAATCACACCCCAAACGGACTCTGCCTGAGGGGGCCCAGCCCTCCCTGTCTCTCTCTCTCTCTCTCGCTCTCTTTCTCTCTCTTTCTGTCTCTCTTTCTGTCTCTCTCTCTCTGTTTTCTGCACAAAGGGGCGTGCTGGTGGCCGTGCCCACGCGAGTCCAGGCTGCCGGGCAGCGACCCCTCTCCTCCCCATTCCCCTTCCCCATCCCCGTCCGCCCCTGCCCTTCCTCCATCCAACCACTTCCCCCTCCGCCCCCCTGGAAGAGGAGGGAGAAGGAAGCAGAGGAGGAGGAGGAGGAGGAGGAGGAGGAGGAGGACGAAGATGAGGATGATGATGAGGAGGAGAAGGAGCAGCAGCAGCAGAAGGAGAAGGATGATGATGAATATTGACTGGATATAGGAAGGCGGATGGACTTGTGGGCTCCCGCCTGCAGTCGAATGGAGGGGTCCACGTGCAACACACGTGACGAACGAAGGTGGCACCTTCCAGCCGTTTCTTTAGGTGAGCGATCCAAACATGGAACACACTATTGCGCGTTGCGACTCCACAGGGTGCGGATGATGGGGGGGAGTAGGAGAAGGAGAAGGAGGAGAAGGAGAAGGAGGAGGAGGAGAAGGAGGAGGAGGAGGAGGAGACAGGGTGAAGGGAGGGTGAGCAGGAGGAGGAGGACGAAGAGGAGGAGGAGGAGGAGGAGGAGGAGGAGGAGGAGGAGGAGGAGGAGATGGAGACAGGGTGAAGGGAGGGTGAGCAGGAGGAGGAGGAGGAGTAGGAGGAGGAGAAGGATGAGGAGGGTGGAGGATGAGGACTATGTTTCGTCTAGTCAATCATTATCAAGTCCTCCTCGCATTCGGACCCTCATTTGCTCGCGCGTTGGGCGTGCCTTCGTACGCAGCACCTCAAAGGATACTGACTGTTTCATGCTCTGTCTTCATCGCAAGACTCTTGACTACTGCCAGATTTCCGTTTCGATCACGCCTGTGTTGGATCGAGAAAGTTAATCATCCTACCCCCACGCGGCGCTCCAGACCTCTTGCCATGACGGCACGACGCAGTGTGCTTGTGCTGGGCCGCCCTGGGCGAGGTCTCCTCCTCCCCCTCCTTTCTCGAGCACGGATGCCATCGTCTCCTCCCCCTCCTCTCTGTCCTCCGCTCCCTCATCCTCGGCCTGCACCCGAATGATCCCCTCGTACGCTGCCGGCTAGTGGAGCGACAAGCGCAGGCGGAGACATGGTAATTTCCCCAAGTTCTCTCGCTCGCTCATCCTCCCCGTCTTCCTCCTCATCTTGACCCTCCCGCTCACTGTCGTCATCATATTCGTCCTCGTCCTCTTCCTCATTTTCTCCTGCCCTGCTCCTCTCGTTTTCCTCGCGCCACCCATTGGACCATTAGAAGAAACCGCACTTCTATCAAAGCTTACCGGTCGAATGCGCTCTTCCCGCATGGGCCATGGCAACAAACACTAGCTAATGGGGGCACGGAAGACCCTGGCCATTGTTCCATGCACGGAGACACCCCGCCAGATTATTCGTAGGGGGAGGCAGGAACAGGAGTATCACTTTCCCTGCCCACCCCCCACTGCCCCCCCCTTCCTCGATGTAGCGCTTGAGCTTCACAGCCCACTTCGCGCGCCAATTCCCGACCCTCTTCACAACGCGGTTCCAGTCGATGCCCTAAGCGGCGAGGTCGCGGAAGGCCCATGGCCAGAGAGGAGAGGGAAAGGCCTTCTCCTCCTCCTTCTCCTCCTCCTCCTCCTCCTCCCTCCTCCTTCTCCCTCCTCCTTCTCCTCCTCCTCCTCCTCCTCCTCCTCCCTCCTCCTTCTCCCTCCTCGTTCTCCTCCTCCTCCTCCTCCCTCCTCCTTCTCCCTCCTCGTTCTCCTCCTCCTCCTTCCTCCTCCTTCTCCTCCTCCTCTCTTTCCCTATCCCCCGATCCCCACCCTCTACTTCCTCATCTTGTTCGATCCTCGAAGGTCGAGATTTTTTGAAGCTTTGAGCCCCCAGCGGGTATCTGGAAGCCTCTGGGGACCTCATGTGGGGGAGGGTAGCGAGGAAAGAGAGGGAGAGAGAGAGAGAGAGAGAAAGAGAAAGAGAACGAGAGGGAGAGAGAGAGGCACGAGAGAGAGAGACAAGCAGACATACGTATTTATGTGAATCGATGTATATACTCATCTCTCTATTTATATCCATAGTTACACACGCATATGCATACATATATGTATATATCTGTGCATACACATATATATATATATATATATATATATATATATATATATATTTACATATGTATATACAGACCAGGGAAAGCCACGCGCGCTACGCGTGCGCTTAGATTCTAGTCGGTTCCGAAAACCTCATCTTCATCCTCGTCCTTCTTCCCCTCAACCACTCCCGTGGCAGGCACGCAATCCCGGAGGCCACGAACGGACTGGGGTCGTCGGCGTCGACGGCGTCGTCGTCGTGGGAGGGGGGGAGGGACGGAGGGAGAGCGCGACATTTCGGACAGCAGGGCTGTCCAGGCCCCGAGGCTGCGCGCGCCCCGCAGGCCTTCCTCCTTTCAAGGCGGAAGGCGCCGCTTACGAAATGGGGGTGGTGGGATGACCTCCCCCCTGGCGCGGTGTGTGGGGGCCCCGATTGGAAAAACTGGGGGGCCATGGTGATCAGGGCGTGGCGCACCGCGTCTGCGCGCCCGAGACTGCAAGAGATTCCGACTTTTAGCACGCTTTGGCATGCGCGCCTCGGAGCCCTGCGATGTCAGCGGCACCGGCTTGGGGCATCCCCCGCGGCGGCTCACTAAGAACAGGCGACGGAGCAGGTGCCAATTGTTCACGTAGCCCTTTGGTGGAGAAGGGTGCTAGCACTGGAGTGCCGCGCCTCGAGCGTCCATAAAAGCTTGGAGGTTGCCGTGGAAGGACGCCCCTGGGGCCACTGCCGGCCGAAAGGCCTGTTGCAAGCCGCTCCATGGCGGTAACGCCCGCGGCCGTGCCAGTCGGCCCCCCGCTGCGCGCGGCAGTAGATTGCCGCCCCCTTCAGGTGGTCGGGTCGGGGTTGTGCGGGGTGGGCTGCTCGAGCGGGGCGCTGGGCGAGCTGTCTGCGGCGTCCGCTCCGACGGCGGAGGCGGCTGGGGCGCGTGGCCGCGCGCCGCCGATGCAAATTCCAGGAGGCAGCCGGGGTCGCGAGAGTCCCGTCGCATTCCTGGCCTGGTGGCCGTGGGGGGGGACGCCTGAGCACCTGGCCTTCGCCATTGTTAGTGGCCGCAACCTCGTGGGCCAAGCGGAGACATGAGGAGGCCCCCGATGGCGCCTGCCTTGGCGGAGACGCCGATGGGGAATTCCAGCATGGCATTTTTTCACATTTCACATTTCGCTTATACACAGCCGTCCACGGGTCCGCGCGCCGGTCGCCCGGCGCCCGGCCCCGCGGCCGCTGCGACTCAGGACTGCCACAGGGGTGCAGGTCTGAGCCATCCAGCCGACGGAGGCAAGGCGGTGGTCTCTCACACCCCTTCCTCCCCCGGCTGGTGCGTGACGAGTGGCGCGGGGGGTCCAACGTTCCCCCCCCGCCCGCAGAACGCAGGCGGCGGACGACGTCGACGGGGGGCAGGCAAGTCAGACATGCAAGAGAAAGGAGCGCAAGCAACAATTGAAGGGGCCATTGAGGTGTCAAGACACGCTATGGGAAGCAATAAGACAGACGAGCAAGGGAGGCGGGAGCAGCAGGGAGACGGACGGGGAAACACAATCGTGAGATCAGATCAATCAACAGGAAGCGACACTTACCTAGACCAGCGGAGAGAGAGAGAGAGAGAGAGACCGAGAGAGCAAGAGACAGGGAGACAGAGAGAGGGCAAGATCGCAAGACCACGGGAGGACGGGCAAGGGGGGACATGGGCAAACAAGCGAAATGAGAGCATTTTGGCGGCCCGCTCCTTCGCGATCCCACTGCTGATACAGCCACCGCGCGTGAAGGCCCCCGGCCCTCTCAGGCCCCCTGGCGACCACGGCGCCCTCCCCGCCAGAGGCGGACAGTGCCCCCCGGACCAGCCACGCGAGGGGGGCAGCGATGGAAGGGCGCGCGGCGCGCCCTAACGCAGCAAGCTAAGAATGGCAGGCGGAGGAGGAGGAGGAGGAGGAGGAAAAGGAGGAGGAGGAGGAGGCCGGCCTGGGGGCCGCGCGCAGGATTGCGCGGCCCACGAAAACAATGTGGCTGGCACGGGCCACAGGTTCCGCGCCCTCACAAAAGAGCAGCTGCAAGAGCAAGTCAGGAGTGACGGACGGCCCAACGCGGCCCTCCCCCACACCTGGCAGTGCCTTGCGCGCCCGGTCTAAGGCCGGACAGCGAACGAGGACATGCCGGAGCGAGACACCGCGCCTGCGGCATGCACGGCACACTGGGATGGTTTCTGGGAGTTCCACCTCGCCTAACACAGGCAGCGGCCATGCCCCCGTCATCCGGGCGACTGCCCACAGACGGTAGTACCTCCAAAAGGAGGGCCCCGGCTCCCAGGTCAGCATGCCCTCATCGGGGAGTGCTGGACCAGGGCACAGCGCTGCAAAGGACCGATTGAGGCTCGGCAAAACCCGCGAGGCCCCCGCTGCGAAGGCCTGCTGGTCGTATCTGAGGAGTGCCGGGCGCAAGGCAAAGCGCCGATACTCCCGCAGGAGGACCTTCCTTCGGGCTGGGTCGAGCTGGGCAGCGCGGAGGGCCTCCGGGGGAAACAAAGGGTGAGAATCCAGGTCAGGAGGCGGGTCAGGCAGGCGGGAAGCCAGCGCCGCTGCGTCCGAGAGCCAGGTGGGGACGCAGAGGGCGCGCGAAGCACGGTACATGATTGCGCCAGGATGGTCGGGCGGGAGCACGGTGAGCCGAGCCCGAGCCATGAGCGCACGCTCGATGAACCGGGTGCCCATTCGCATGCGCCAGCCGCATTGCGCGACCACCACGACGTGCTTGATGGGCGGCCCGCCGTGGCATCCCAGCAGTCGGCGGCCCCACCCCACCTGAAGCTTGTTGAAACGAGCCTCGGCGCCAGGGACTCCTGCAAGGAGCGGACACGCAAAAAGAACAGCTGCCTCAACTCGAGGCGGCACCTGCGCGGCCGCCACCGGCACAGAAAAACCTCCGCTCTCCGCCGCGAAAAGCAACTTCTTGAAACAGGAGTCGCCGATAGCACAGAGCTCGTTCAGCAGCGGGCCAAAAGTCAGCCCTGAATCGACAAGAACACCGAGGAGGTGTTTCTGAGATACGACTGGGCAACCTGGTCGGCCTGGGATCGGGGCACCAAGCAAGGGCAAAACGCATGTCTTGTCACGCTCATACGTGAACAAGGACTTCATGCGGAACGCATAGCGACTACATGCCGAGGTGCTCTCATCGGAGATCACTGCCCGCACGGCGCCCTCAGACGGGCACGGCGTGGTGATATCGTCGACAAATTGAACCGGAGGCAAATGGAAAGACCCTGTAGCCTCGGCAAGCGCCACTCGGTCCGCCTCCACCGGGAGGCGTTGGAAGACGCCACGGAGCCGCTCTTCAGCAGACGCCGCAAGGGGGGCCGCCTGCTCTAAGATGCCCGCAACACTCGACTTAAACTCCTGAACCGGCAGGTCTCGCCAGGGCATGCTTTCCCTACATGCGGGGGGCGTAGCAATGGCCGCATCCAAAAGGGCGCTTCTGATCAGCAGCGGGATGCAGGAAGCGCATCCACCGGGTAGTGCTTCCGAGATTTCGTCACGCAGCGCGCGTAGCTGCGCGTTAAAAATATGCACGGAGAAGCGACGACCTTGGGCAGTTCCACATTTCAAGAAAAAGACCGGAGAGAGCAGGCCGTGGAGCCCCACTGTCTGTTGGTCTTGGGCCAGGATGTCGTCCAAGAGGAGCCAATCGGCCCCCTCGACCCCGGCGCTGTATGCACCGAGGAGCATGCCGTCGATCGAGGCGACATCGAAAGCCCATTTATTGTCAGCTATGGCCCACCAGGTTGGGCAGTCAAACGCGCGTCGTAGCTGCGCATTGAGGACAAGGGCAAGAACCTGGGATACAGGGTCTCCAACCCCGCCCTGTTGGGCTGCACCGCAATATGCCTCAATGAGGGCCCCATTCCGCGCTATCCACAAAGCGTCCTGCACAGACGCCATGTCGCTGGCGAAGGACACGGGTCGAAGGGCAGAGACCTTTCTGACCACGGGAGGGCCTGATTTCCGAAGAGGTGAAAACTGCCGGAGAGACCAGAAGCGAGACGTGACACAAAGGCGGCGGCCCAAGTTCAACAGCGCCCGCGTTAGGCGGAAACCCTCTTGAACTGGCGCCTTCACCGCTGCGTTGCACAAATGCACAGTCCGTTTACCAAGCTTCAACAAGGCAATGGCCTCTTCGACTTCGGTCTCGCTGTACAGTGGCTGCGCGCGTTCGGGCCCGGACGCGGCTCCTGCGCGCCGGATCCCTGAGACCACGCGAGACATGCGGTCCCTCTCCACAGGGCATTGGGGGAAATCGTTCTGAGCGCGCCCCAACAGGTCCGCCTGAATTGCATCGAGCATCTCGCTCGTGGACTGGGTGCGCCCTGTCACTGGGCTGACGAGCTGGATATCAAATCTGTCCGCGTCCTTGAAAAATCCAGACAAGAAGCGCTCCGCGGCGCCTTTATTAATTTCCCGGAGGCGTAGGTAACGGTGCACCGA